ACTGCTGTTCCTGAAACCACGCTTTCTTTCTTTGCGTGCACATTTGGGCGGTGTTATGCAAATCTTCCCACATTGTGACGTAGACATGTGGGGGCGTGTTAGAACAAACTCTTAACGTGGCTGACTCTTAACGTTGATAAAGAATATCTCTTTGGATTTGAGACTTTAGTCTTTGCAACTTTACAGATCTTCTTTATGCACCAAGAGCTTGTAACACTCCAAAGAGAAAGGAAAAATTGAAATTGCATCATATGACCCCTTTAAATATTTCATAAATTATGATGTTAAGAACTTTGTTTTAAAATACAACACTATTTCCTCCAGGTCCTCAGGGAGCAGAGTGTCAGTGTCCCTCTGAGGGCCGTTGGTATCTGGCCGACAACAAACACTGTATCCCTGACAATGGCACACGCTGTCAGTCGGGCCAGTTTACTTGCATGAATGGCCGCTGCATCCGCGCCCAGTGGAAATGCGACAACGACGACGACTGTGGTGACGGCAGTGATGAACTCGAGAGGGTCTGCGGTAAGATGCGTTGTTGCTTCCATGTTGTCCTAAATCAGAATAGCAACTTTATGTAAATGCAGTTTATTGATTCAGAATATATGCCAGTGGCTTCATATATGGTTTACCAAACATACACATACAGTATGAATTCATCCAAACTGACATTTTATGCACTTTCAAGGGTGAACTAAACATTGATATTTGTGCATGACCAAACTGCAAGCCTAATGTTAACACTCAAATCTCTTGTTCCCGCCACTCTCTGACTGTTTCCGTTTGCTGGTGGATGAATTTTCCTCTCCTGCACTGCGGTGCAATCTTTCACTAACATGTTTCTTCTTGCTTTTATCTTACTTGCACAATCTGCTCAAATCTTTTCCTCCAGGATCCAAGAGTCATTTCGTTTTTGGTGTGTATTCTTGCTTACTTCTCTTCATGTGTAGATCTGTTCCAAAACCTAGTGTGCTGCCTACATAGGAAACAAGGCTATGCTGCCTTTTAAGACACCATCTTTTGGTCAAATTCTAAAGCAGTATTGCATGTATCCTTTGCAGATAATAATGGCATAATGCATTGTTTGCCACGCTACCCAGCTAACAAAAAATATGTTCTAAGAACGTTTTGCCAATGTTCCCAGTGAGTTATGAAAACATAATTTTTGAATGTTCTCGGAATGTTCCAAGCATCCAATTTTTTAAATGTTTTTTTTTTCATATCCGAATGTTAAGGGAACATTCTATTTTACGGTTTTGCAAACATGGGAATGTTATTTTTGAACGTTTTCTGGACGATCTGAAACACGTAGTAATATTTAAAAAAACGTCAGATGAACATTCAACTAAAAATTTCAAAAAAAGTTCCATGTTTTTGTGCTCTTGTTTTTAGAACATTATTAGAGACCAGATAACTCTGAACGAACATTCTAATAATGTTACTGGAAGAATGTTTGTTCTGTTGTTTGTCCAAAAAGTTCTGAGAACATCCCCTGTTAGCTGGGTACATGCAAAAATCCATCAAAGCAATTAATGTTGATTATAAGAATAATTATAATCCATTCAATACTGAATAACACTGATAAAAATCTAATTTAAGGATTAGAGTATTGAACTGTTAGCTTAGCATGGTAAAAAGGAAAATTTTAATGAAATTAATTGTGAGTCACTAGACACCAAGGCAGCTTACTAGGATTTAGAACAAAGCCTTAGACTACATAAAGTTTAATAACCATCTATAAACACATACTAACCTCTTCCACAATGCACCACTCTCTCTCTCTCTCTCTCTCTCTCTCTCTCTCTCTCACTCTCTCTCGCATGCAGTCCCACAAGCAGCAGCATTCATTTCACTCTCAGGTAAAATAAAATAGAGAGATAGAGGAGGTAGGCAGTGAGCTCTACTAGTTGCTGTTAATTCATTCAGCTCTTACTGCACATGTCAAAATGAATCTTATTTGTGCATGGCAGCATTTCACACCTGCGAGCCCACAGTGTTCACATGTGGAAATGGCCGTTGTGTGCCATATCACTATCGCTGCGATCACTATAATGACTGCGGGGATAACAGCGACGAGACCGGCTGCCTGTTCCGGCCCTGTGACCCCAACACTGAGTTCACCTGCAATAACGGTCGCTGCATTGCACGGGAATACGTCTGCAACGGAATAAACAATTGCTACGACAATGGGACCTCGGATGAGCAGAACTGTGGTAAGTGCATTTGCACGGTTACCAAAACAAGTTGCTAGGTTGTTTGTCAACTATAAACAGCCTACAGCTTATGAGCATTTATATAATACAAAATAGTTTTCATAAATTTATTTGAAGTGATCCATAATGCCTTCTTCTGGGTATAAAATGCAGCTGAGAGGACATGTCAGCCAGAGCACACCAAATGTCAGACCACCAACATCTGCATCCCACGCTCATACCTGTGTGATGGAGATAATGATTGCGGTGACAACAGCGACGAGAGCCCAACGCATTGTGGTGAGTTTCCCCATCCCACCCTCTTCCTCTGTCCTGGTCGATCTGGTTCATAAATTCAGCTTTAGTGAGTTAACTACTTTCATGAGTTAAGCTGCTCTTACATTTGTTGCAATGCTGCTGTGAATTAATGACTTTCACCCAAAAAATGAAAATTCTGTCATTAATTACTCACCCTCATGTCATTCCAAATCCGCCAGACCTCCGTTTGTCTTCGGAACACAAATTAAGATATTTTTGATGAAATCCGAGAGATTTCTGACCCTGCATAGACAGCAATGCAATTGCCCATTGACTTGCATAGTGTTTTTTTTTCTTCTCCATACTATGGAAGTCAAAGGGGACCAGCAACTGAAGGTGAACTATCCCATTAATATTAATTATATAATTATGAAAAAAGTCAGTTCTATTTTAGTTATTATCGTTAACTAAAACTAAACCTATTAAAAACATTTATGTTCACATAAAATAAAATTAAATTAAATGTGACCCTGGACCACAAAGCCAGTCTTAAGGGTCATTTTCAAAATTCAAAAAGCTGAATAAATAAGCTTTCTGTTGATGTATGGTTTGTTAGGATAGGACAATATTTGGCCGAGATACAACTATTTGAAAATCTGGAATCTGAGGGTGCAAAAAAATAAAAATATTCAGAAAATTGGCTTTAAAGTTGTCCAAATGAAGTTCTTAGCAATGCATATTACTAATCAAAAATTAAGTTTTGATATATTTACAGTAGGAAATTTGCAAAATATATTCGTAGAACATGATCTTTATTTAATATCCTAATGATTTTTGGCATAAAAGAAAAATCAATCATTTTGACCCATACAATGTATTTTTGGCTATTGCTACAAATATACCCCAGCGACTTAAGACTGGTTTTGTGGTCCAGGGTCACAAATGATTAGATGAAAACTTAAACTAAATGAAAATTAGAAATGTTATCTTGGCAACTAACTGAAATTGTAACGTGCTGTTAAGGATAAGCACACGGCGAAGGAGTATAATCCAAAACAGAGTCTTTAATAGAGAATTCACAAGGAAACGCTGGAGAACACAGGAGTCAACTAACACTACACAACATTAACCAAAATTAACGCAAGACAAGGAAACTGAGGCAAATACAGGGCTTATATACACTGGGAACATAATCAGGCAGAACAGAAACAGGTGAGGGGCTAATTATTAAATAAGGGAACTCAGGAGGCAAATGGAGAATCAAATGAATAACCATGGAAATTACCGGTAATACTGACAGACTAAACTCAGAAATAGAACAAAGTCAAACAGAACCGTGACAGAAATACTGTAAGTTGAAGCACTAAAATTAATAACTGGAAATTAATTAAATTAATTAAAAACTAAAACTAGATCTAAAACTGGAATTAAAATAAATGAAATGTAAATAGTACCATTTTAAAAAACTAATAAAAATGACAAAAGCACATTATTTATTATAAAACACAGTATTTTTGATGAAACTGAATTGATGGTGAAATTATTGATAAATAATTTAGATTATTCAATCAATAATTTTGAATAATTATTGATCAATATATTATTAAAAAAAAACTGTAAAGGTATTTAAAAATATTAAATGATACTGACATAAAAGGTAGAAAAAAAAACATCAAATAAATAAATAAATTAACAGATAAATAAATATGTGATATAATTGTAAGAATGACAAAAATGTATAATAATAATATTTTAGTTGTTTGTTTCTCCTTTAAAGTGGAATTAGATGAGTAACTGTTTAACAGAGATAATTTCCTGTTGCTTTTTGAGCCAAAGTTGTTGCTCAACTTGCCCTTCCTGTAATTTCAGTTAAATTAGTGACCCATGTATGTGAGCGGGTCCATCTGGGCCATTTCTGAGTTTTCAGTTTGGTAAAAGTTTAGACCCCGTTCTCCTTAATGTTTATGACCCAGGTCTGCCGTTTGAGGCTGACTGATTGATTTAACCCTCATCTGTTGGTTTATCTCTGACCGAGCTTGTGTTCTTCACTCCTCAGCCACATCTACATGTTCCCAGAATGAGTTTCGCTGTTCGAGTGGACGCTGTATTCCTGGACACTGGTACTGTGATGGTGGTACAGACTGTAATGATGGTTCTGATGAGCCCATTACCTGTAGTAAGTACCACACATAACAATATACAGTTTAAAATTTTCAAAAAATAAATGTACACCAGTATATTTTCTCAAGTTATCTGGCATTCATTCAGTATATGTTTGTTTGTTTATTTGTATAGCACATTTAAAAACAACTCATGCTGACCAAAGTGCTTTCCAATAGAACAACATATAAAACAGAATAACCAGAACTAAGACAGCAAAAACATAAAAACAACATGACAAACACTAAAACACAAGACCATCAAATATGCACCAACTAGCTGACACCAAATGCCCAGGCAAGTAAGTGCCCTCTAAAAAGTGCTTTAAAAATGACCTATTGATGTACAACATCTAATTTCCAATGGCAGGTCATTCCAGAAGAGGGGTGCCGCAACCGAAAACGCACGGTCTCCTTTGGACTTTAAGCGGGATTTAGGGACCTTTAATAGGAATTTTAATAGGCTAACCGGCTAACATATGTGAAGACGGTGTAATAGAGCCAAATATTAGGCATTCTGTTTTAGCCTCATTTAACTGTAAAAAATTCTGCGCCATCCATAGCTTAATCTCATGATAACAAGACATCAGATCACCCAACTCATCACGATCACCTGCTTTCAGTGGAAGATAAAGTTTTGCATCATCTGCATAAAAATGGTATGCAACATTGTATTTTCCACAGATAGAACCGAGCGGAAGCATATATAAAGAAAACTAAATGGGCCCCAAAATTGATCCCTGGGGAACCCCGCAAAAAGAAGCTGCAGAATCAGAGAAGTAATTGCCCAACTGAACTACAGAACTTCTGTCATTTAAGTAAGAGCAGAACCATTTGAGAGCCTTTCCCCAAATGCCAACCCATTGACTTAATCGATTTAAAAGGATGTTGTGATCAATCGTGTCAAATGCTGCCGTAAGGTCAAGGAGAATCAAAATGGCACCCTTTCCTGAGTCGGCAGCGAGCATTAAGTCATTGTGTACTTATGTGTGAAAAAGTTAATTTTGGACCCTGTTTGAACCACCTTACTGGGGAAACTATGAAAACACTGTGATGTGAGGATAAGGCTGTGTTTATCAAGGGAAACCGTTGGCCATGTTTTTGGGTGGTGAGTTAATGATGGGTAGCCTGCCTCACTGGTTACCATGGTGAAGGACTTCATGTCTGGCACAGGCAAATTGGCGGGAAATGATGTCATCCCCCACCCTTCAAGTTACGCTCCACTGGTGATGCATGCAGTCAAAAAGAGGAAAGATAAGGCAAACATTGTGTACAAGAAATCGGTTCAGTTGGCAGAAACAGAATTAAAATGTAGTAATTCAGATCAGCATGTCTGTGGTAAAATGCCCTCACAAAAGAACAAAATCACTAAACAAATAGGTTTGATTTATGACGTTTAGACCCTTACATGAATAAGGTACAATAAGGTTTTGCTTTATAATTTAGTTTGCATCCATTCATTTAATACATACTTAAAATGAAAGAACAATTGATGTTCCCCAAAAAGTTTTGGGAATAGTGTATTATATTGAATATCATACACTATTGTTCAAAAGTTTGGGGTGAGTAAAATGTTTAAATATTTTTGAAAAAAGTCACTTTTCCTCACCAAGGCTGCATTTATTTTATCAAATAAATATTTTAAACAGTAATTTATTCCTGTGATGCAAAGCTAAATGTTTAGCATAATTACTACAGTCTTCAGTGTCACATGATCCTTCAGAAATCATTCTAATATGCTGATTTGCTGCTCAAGAATCTTTTCTTATTATTATCAATGTTAAAAACAGTTGTGCTGCTTCATATTTTTTTGTGGAAACTGTGATACATTGTTTTCTCAGGATTCTTTGATAAGTAGAATGTTTAAAAGAACAGCATTTATTTGAAATGCAAATCTTTTATAACATTATAAATATCTTTTGTCACTTTTGATCAATTTATTGCATCCTTGCCGAATAAAAGTATACATTCTACAAAGTATACATTCTACAAAATTGTAGAATTGCATTGTGTTAGATAATTGGTAGTGAAAATAGGGTTTTCTTTTTTGGTACATCCATTTTTTTAGATTTTTTTTAAAAAATGTTTTAAGCAGTTTTCTTGTAAATATATTTTAATAAGTCATTTATAGGGATTTTTTAATGCTAAAAAAGCTTTAAAGTCTGATATACCCATATACTGTAGAAATAAACCATAGAAATAAAGTATTATAACTACAGCACAAGCAAAATAATTTTTTGGGTGCAATATGACAAACTAGTAAGATAACATAACAATAAAATAAACTACCATAAAAATGAGAAAGATTTGCTCTTCTGAATGACACTTCAGTGGGTATCTGAAGTGTCTGTAACTGTCTGGTGTGTGTCTGTGATGCCAGCGGTCAGTTCGGCCCTCTATTGTGTGTCACATTCCTCCAAAGTGACGTCCAGCAGAAAAGCCCTCACACACACACACACACACACACCGGCCTTTCCTTTGACAATTGCTGCCCCCTCCTCTCACACACACAGCCCCATCCTCTCGCTTTTGTCCCATTAATCACAGCACCCCTCGGTGCCTTTTGTTCAAGCGGGACACTAGAGAGAGGAATGCTTATTCTCTCCCAGAATTCCTCTGCCTGTGGAATCCAAGCAGCAGCCCAGCCACGTTTCTGGCTGCTCAGGATGGGATTTAATGGTTAAATGGATTACGTAGGCCGCATGTTCCTCAGTTCCCTCTGAGATCTGAGTGAGACATGGCCCTCGGACAGGTCGCTCTTCTGCTGCTTCTTGATCCGTGGCTCACTGCTGTGTGTTTGATCCCTACAGCCACCACGGTGAGGACTTGCAACTCCGACCAGTTCCGCTGCGATGACGGAAGGTGCATCGCTTCGTCCTGGATCTGCGATGGAGACAATGATTGCGGGGACATGAGCGACGAGGACGAGAGACACAACTGTGGTCAGTATTGCTTGGTCCAAACCCAAATTTGATTCCACCCCCATCACAGGTCTCATTTCATAATGTACATTTGGTACAGTAAATGGCTGCCCACTGCTCCGGGTTTGTGTTCAGGTGTGTGTGTGTTCACTGCTGTGTGTGTGCACTTTGGATGGGATAAATGCAGAGCACTAATTCCGAGTATGGGTCACCATACTTGGCCTCACGTCACGTCACACAGTTTGTTTAAGGATATATTATGTTGAGTTGAACATAAATGAAATTCTGTCCTCTTGTTTTGTCTCACACACGCACGCAGCAAACCGCTCCTGCTCTCCTCAGGAGTTCACCTGTATAAATAACAGGCCTCCTCAGAGGAAGTGTATCCCACGGGACTGGGTGTGTGACGGAGACGCAGACTGTTCGGACGCGTACGATGAGCACCAGAACTGCACTCGCAGATCCTGCTCCGCCAACGAGTTCACCTGCAACAACGGCCTCTGCATCCGTAACTCCTACAGGTTAGAATCACATCTAAATCAAAAAAGGTTGCAGATGCATTGCAAGAGATGGAATAGATTGACAGATATTGTTTTTTATGTCTGATGCCAATTTTTTTGTTTGTGTTTGATAACTGATATGCAGAACCGATTTTTAAATATTGTGTTATTTTTTTTACGTCGTAATAAAGTGCAAGGAGATAAACATTGTGAATTATTTGTATTATTATCAGTAACATTAATAATAATTTATTATTATTATTATTATTATTATTAATTATAAACATAGAAAATGCATTGTCCCACGGGACTGGGTGTGTGACGGAGACGCAGACTGTTCGGACGCGTACGATGAGCACCAGAACTGCACTCGCAGATCCTGCTCCGCCAACGAGTTCACCTGCAACAACGGCCTCTGCATCCGTAACTCCTACAGGTTAGAATCACATCTAAATCAAAAAAGGTTGCAGATGCATTGCAAGAGATGGAATAGATTGACAGATATTGTTTTTTATGTCTGATGCCAATTTTTTTGTTTGTGTTTGATAACTGATATGCAGAACCGATTTTTAAATATTGTGTTATTTTTTTTACGTCGTAATAAAGTGCAAGGAGATAAACATTGTGAATTATTTGTATTATTATCAGTAACATTAATAATAATTTATTATTATTATTATTATTATTATTAATTATAAACATAGAAAATGCATTGTATTATTTCAGTTGTAATTTTAAAAAAAGTTTTTTTTATTTGTTTTAATATTTATTATTTATGAAATAGGGTGAAATTCAATAATAATAAATGCATTACATTGTGCATTGTATATATTGTATAATGCATTGTATTAAATGTAATTCATTTTTATTTTAATAATAATTTTAATAATTTAATCATTTTTATTTATTTTCATGTATTATTATTTTTTATTTATGAAAGAGGGTGAAATTCGATAATAATAATAATATAAATGCATTGTTATATTTTAATTGTAATTAATATTTCTTTTAGTTTATTTTTATTTATTATTTCTATTTTTATTTATGAAAGACAGCACTCTTTTTTTATATGTTCATAGCTTTATGAATGAAATTCTAAATTAGTTTGCAGTGTTTATACAAAACTTTGTTTTGGTGATTGATTCCATTGAAAAAGATATAATTCCCTGCTGTGTGTGTTGTGTCTGTAAGGTGTGACCGTCGTAATGATTGTGGAGACAGCAGTGATGAGCAGGGCTGCACCTATCAGCCGTGCCAACAGCATCAGTTCACCTGTCAGAACGGCCGCTGCGTCTCACGCGATTTCGTCTGTGACGGGGACAATGACTGCGGGGATGAATCTGACGAGCTGGATCACCTGTGCAGGACTCCAGCGCCCACCTGCCCTCCTGGAAACTTCCGGTGTGACAACGGAAACTGCATACCACTCAGCGAGGTGTGTGACAGGAACGACGACTGCAACGACAACAGTGATGAGAAAGGCTGTGGTAAGCACTGCGTCATGTGACCACTTGTGATTCGATTTCTTTTCTTTTTTTTGTCTAGGATATGTTGTGGTCTGTATTTTTACTTTGGTACTGTATTTTTCAAGTATTCTTGGACTTAATTGTGCTATACATGTATATTTGTGTCTCATTTTTATATGTAAACGTGCAATGCATGCAAATAATGGCAAAATACCCTCTTTATGACTAATTTATTTATAAATCTATTTAGATGTTTAATAAAAGTCATTTGCATCACTGAAGCTCTAAAAAATTTTCATTTTTAGAAATGTAAATGTGAACACTAGTGGAAAAACTGCTGTAAAAACATGTAAAATTATGCCCATAAAGTGTGGGGAAGGTGTTTTTTTTTTGTTTTGTTTTGTTTTTTGTGCAAGTGATTTGAGTGATAAATCAGGGTTATTATAGATAACTAAAACTAAAACCATAAAAAAAAAAAACTTTTCTTACTTGAAATAAAATAAACTTCAAATGAAATATAAAATTAAATAAAAAGAATTAAATTAAAATGAAATTGTCACGGTACGGGTGTTCTAAAGAACAGGCAGGACGACGAAGATGACGAATCAAAGGATATTTAATAAAGCAACAGGAAATCCAGACAGGGTAGACATCAACATAGACAGGAACATGGACATAGACATTGGCATTTACAATAACCGACAAATTAGACTACAGGAGGCAGGAACTAATATAGGGCGGATAATTGGTGGCAGACAGGTGAGCAAAATGAGGGTAATTAACTGAAAATGAGAACAACCAAATAAGGACACAGAGGGAGAAACCACAATCCACAGTCCACAGGGGTGTGACAGAAATAAACTGCCTCATAGAAAGCGCAGAGCGCGTCGTCCGGATAGCGGGTGATGTTAGCGACCAACAGGAACTGTCTGGTATGGTCCTCGAGAGTCTTGCCTTCCTGCTCCAGCAGGAGAAGGAGGAATTCGGGGCAAGTGAAGGGATCCATAGGGCAAACACAACGGAAACAAAAAACTGAGTATAAACCGGAAAACAAACGGAGGGGAGAACACGGAAGTTAAACTGGTTCTTTGGTCAGAGGGTAATTAACTGAAAATGAGAACAGGAACAACCAAATAAGGACACAGAGGGAGAAACCACAATCCACAGTCCACAGGGGTATGACAGAAATAAACTGACTATAAATTAAATATAAAAAAAGCTAATTTTTTTTCCAATTTTCATTTAGTTTAACTTGATTTACTAAAATAACTGAAACTAAAACTGAAATATTAATATAGTATAAAACAAAACACATATTTTTAAACAAAAAAAACTAACAAAAACAACACAAAAAATACAACAAAATGATAACTATAAACTGTTACTAAAATGAAAACAGAATATATAAAAATAAAAGCTATAACAGTATCTCAATGATACTAAAATAACACATAAATTGTATTATACATTTAAATATATTATATAACATTAAATATATTATTAACAGCTTTGCAAAATACATAATTGTCCTGAATGTAAGATGCACAGAAATTCTAAATCATTGTCTGTTTTGTTGTCTCAGGCATCAATGAGTGCACAGACCCGTCCATGCACCACTGCGACCACAACTGCACCGACACGCCCACCAGCTTCATCTGCACCTGTCGCCACGGTTACCGCCTCATGTCCGACAACAAAACGTGCGACGATGAGGACGAGTGCTCCGTCAGGCCCAGCGTGTGCAGCCAGGTGTGCGAGAACACCATGGGCTCGTACGTGTGCAAGTGTGCTCCAGGCTTCCTCCGCGAACCCGACGGACGCAGCTGCAGGCAAAACAGCAACATCACCCCCTACCTGATCTTTAGCAACCGCTACTATCTGCGCAATCTGTCGACGGACGGCGAGGCCTACTCGCTCATTCTGCAGGGCCTCACCAGCGTGGTGGCGCTGGACTTCGATCGGGTGGACAAACGCTTATACTGGATCGACGTGAGCAGGAGGGTGTTGGAGCGGATGTTCTTTAACGGGACGGGACGAGAGGTGGTGGTCAACGGGATTTTGCATGGCGAAGGCCTGGCGGTGGACTGGGTCGGGAGGAAGCTGTACTGGGTCGACAGCTTTCTCGACTGCATGAAAGTGTCGGAGCTGGACGGCCGGTTTGTGAGGAAGTTAGCAGAACACTGTGTGGATGCTAATAACACATACTGCTTCGAGAATCCCAGAGCCATCGCTCTGCATCCAAAGCTTGGGTGAGTTTACCAGTGATGGAAGTCATTTTCAGACCCATAAGTTGGTGGGCATTTGCACACTGCACAGTCTAAGCAGTGTCAACTGCATACACTCTCCGAAAAAACTTACAAAAGCTGTCACTGGGGTGGTACCTTTTCAAAAGGTACACTTTTGTTCCTTATTTACCCCTAAAGGGTGCATATAAGTATCTAAAAGGTACATATTAGTACCAAAATGGTACGTTTGTACCTTTTTTAAAGTACTGCCCCAGTGACAGCTTTTGTGGCTTTTTTTCTAAATTTGTAGTTGCCAACTGGTGGGTCTGTTCGGATCATGAAAAAAACAATGGTAAATGCAAACAATGAAATATAACCAACTATAAAACCATGTGTAGAATGGGATAGCAACATGAATTGGCTTAAACGTTTTTAAAAAGGAGGAGAACTCATAGTTGACATCAAAGGCCTCATATTCCAGTCAAATTTTGTAGACTTTTGGCGCAAATTAATTTGTCAGTCGCTAGAAGTGGGAAATTAGACATGCCAAAATGGAAATTAATAAATAAAACTACACAAATTAATATAATAATAATTATTATTATTATTATTATTAATAAAAGTTGTTTTATTGAAATAAAATATATAAAACATATTTATATGTATATACAGTGGGTACGGAAAGTATTCAGACCCCCTTAAATTTTTCACTCTTTGTTATATTGCAGCCATTTGCTAAAATCATTTAAGTTAATTTTTTTTCCTCATTAATGTACACACTAAGGGGGTCTGAATACTTTCCGTACCCACTGTATATATACAAATAAAAAATATAAAAATTATAATGTAAATTTATATAATTTAATAATTATCTATTAAATTATTATTTATGATTCTTAATTTTATTTAAGTTATGTTTGGTATTATAAATCTATAATACTTACAAAAAAAGTGAATTTAGATGTAATCAATTGTGTACACTACATGGAAACATTTAAAATTAGTTTGAACTTTTCAAATAAATGCTGTTCTTTTGAACTTTCTATTCATCAAAGAATCCCAGGAAAAATATGAAGCGGCACAACTGTTTCCAACATTCATAATGATAAGAAATGTTTCTTGAGCAGCAAATCAGCATATTAGAATGATTTCTGCAGGATCATGTGACACTGAAGACTGGAGTAATGATGCTAAAAATTCAGCTTTGCATCACAGGAATAAATTATATTTTAATATATATTGAAATAGAAAATGGTTATTTTAGATTTGTAATACTATTTCACAATATTCCTCTTTTTACTGTATTTTTGATCAAATAAATGCAGACTTGGTGAGCAGAAGAGACAGTAAAACAGGAAAAAAAACTCTTACCGACCCCAAACTTTTGAACAGCACTGTTCAGTATGTGACCTTTACATTGCTGGGATCTGTTTTAGCTTCTATTTGTTTAATATCAAATATCCTCTTTGTGCAGATACGTGTACTGGACTGACTGGAGAGACAAAGCCTTCATTGGACGTGTTGGGATGGATGGGAATAACAAGTCGGCCATCATCACTACTAAGATCGAGTGGCCCAACGGTCTGACTATTGACTACACCAATGACAAGCTGTACTGGTCTGATGCTCACCTCAACTACATCGAGTAAGACTACCTCACCTTTACTGTATATCCTGTCAATATTTAATTAGTGCAAATTTAAATATGATAGGTCATAAATGATTATGAAATGAATTAATCACAAATGATCAATATTTGCTGACAAATCCTACAAATTAAGATTTGGTCGTTGCATCACAAGCTGGTTTCCAACATTTTTTTCCCTCCATTTTTAAGATGCTGTTTCAAGGAACTTATAAATTATGCAAGTTTTTCATTGCAATTTCAAACATCACAAAAAACGTCACCGTTTGATTTTAAGGACGTTTATTTTACTTTTGTACAAATAATAAAGAATAATTGTAAGGTATTATAAATGAATATTTATTATAATTGCAAACATTGAATGTTTCCTTAAAATTCAAACACTGAGATGTAGCCAATGTTTGTGTCACGGTCACGGTGTGTGGAGGCAGGCAGGATGACGAGGACGACAAGGATTCAAATAAGGATGTTTAATGTAGAGACAACAAGGCAGATACGGGTAGATGAGACACACACACTCAGGGTAACATTCACAATAACCGACAATACTAGAATACAAGAGACAGGAACTTATAGGGCAGATAACGAGGGGCAGACAGGTGAGCACACTGAGGATAATTAACTAATGAGTACAGGCTAAACCAACAAAAGGGGAAGAAACCACAACAAACAGTCCACAGGGGTGTTACAGTTTGAAGTTAAAATAAATATTTATACTAAATTTTAACATTTATTCTTATGATTATATATTTAGTTCATATTTGCATTTCATCTTATTTTTTAAAACTTTTGTATGAATAATAAGGAATAATTGTTAGAAAAATGTATATTCATTTTAATTTCAAACATTGAACAACTTTTTTGTTTGATTTTACTTTCACACAAATAATAGAGAATAATCTTTTTAGAATATTATGATTTAATATTATTTTTTAATTGCAAACCCTGAATGAATTTCACACATTAAATACGTCATAAAAATCAAGCACTGAAATGTATTACATTTTTGAAATTTCATTAAATATTCAGAATATTCTTACAGTCATTGTCTATCAATTTTTTGTTGTTTATATGGTTAGTTGCATTTTATTTGCATTTAGCCGTTTTTACATTACACGAATTAAGTATGATATGTCAATTCATTTATCAATTTGATTAAAGTAATCACATTTATCAATATTTGCTGACAAATCCCACAAATGTAGATTTGGTCACTGCATCATTCAAACTGATTTTCAACATTGTTTTTACCATTTTTAAGATGCTGTGTCATGATTAATTATGCAGGTTGTTTTATTGCATTGTTATTTACACAAAATGAACATTAAACATTATTCAAATGGTTCTGTCTCCTCAGATTCTCTGATCTGGACGGGAATCACAGGCACACTGTGTACGACGGCGTCCTGCCGCATCCTTTCGCGATCACGGTGTTCGAGGAAAGCGTGTACTGGACGGACTGGAACACGCGCACGGTGGAGAAGGGCAACAAATACAACGGCTCTGGACGGGAAGTGCTCGTCAACACCACCCACCGACCGTTCGACATCCACGTGTGCCATCCCTACCGCCAGCCCATAGGTGAGCCCAGGACAGCGTAACCCGAGCGGGACGCTCATTATCTCACGTCAGATCGCTATCACTTCCTTTAAACGTCCACTGAGGCACTTAAGGGTCTCTGCCAATATTTACACAGTCCGACACAATGCCGCCAGTCTCTGCTCGCCTGTCTTTTCTCAGAGACAGGAAAGACTAAACTCTTTATCATCGCTGTAATGGCCAGGACAGGTAGTTTAAACCCTTTATCTGTGGCCTTCTTTAGAAAGAGGAGCTACACCTACAGTACATGATGTGGAGCCACATCCTGGTTTTTTGTAAGAGGATATAGTCAAACTCAACTGACTACAAAATGTACTTTGGGCAGCAAGTGACGACCCAATTCAGTTCCACATACAAAAGTAAAGAAAGATGTCCTGGAATGTATTTTCATTTCAAATATTAAATACGGTGTATACATTAAATCAAATTAATTTATAGTTTTCTTACAATTATTCTCTATTATGTGTACAAAAGTAAATAAAAATGTTTTTGGAATTAAACATTTGAAATTAAAATAAATATGTGACCCTGGACCACAAAACCAGTCATAAGGGTAAATTTTTTGAAATTGAGATTTATACATCATCTGAAAGCTGCACAAATAAGCTTTCCATTGATGTATGGTTTGTTAGGATAGGACAATATTTGGCCGAGATACAACTATTTGATTTTTTACAAATAAAAATCGCCTTTAAAGTTGTCCAAATGAAGTTCTTAACATTGCATATGCAATGCATATTACTAATCAAAAATTAAGTTTTAATATATTTACGGTAGGAAATTTACCAAATATTTTCATGGAACATGATCTTTACTTAATATCCTAATGATTTTTGGCATAAAAGAAAAATCAATAATTTTGACCCATACAATGTATTTTTGGCTATTGCTAGAAATATACCCCAGCGACTTAAGACTGGTTTTGTGCTCCAGGGTCACATATAAATTTATAATATTCTTACAATTAATCCTATGATTATAAGCTTAGTTAATTATTATTTGCATTTATTTTATCATTTGTTTATTTATTATTCTTAATGTGTTTTTATTTTTGATTCTAAGGGCATGTTTACATACAAAAGTGTTGAATAATAGGGGTGATCATGAGAGAAATGATAAATATTTTATTATTATTTTAAATAATGTTATTTTATTGCAAACATTGCAAAAATTCAAACATTAAGTAAAATTTAGTGCTCAATTTTAAGGCCATTTTTATTTACTTTTGTACAAATAATAGAAAATAATCGTAAGAATATTACATATTAATATATTTTCTTTACTGCAAACATTGAATGCATCTCAAACATTGAATTTATCCTTAAAAGCCAAACACTGAAATGTTTCCAATGTTTGAAATTAAAATAAATATTCATTTATAATACTCTTAGAATTATTATTCTCTATTATTCATAAATAAGTAAATAAAATGTTCTTAAAATCAAACAATGAAATGTATTCATTGTTTGGAATTACAATAAATATTTGTTTATAATATTCTTATTTGTATTCTCTATTATTCATACAAAATTAAATCAAACACTAGAATTTATTTAATGTGTGAAATTAAAATTAATTTGTAAAATTCTTAGAATTATTCTTATGATTATATGTTTAGTTACTTATTATTTGCATTTATTTTAGTATTTGTTTATCTATTATTCTTATTTTTGTTTTTATTTTTATTCTAAGGACTTTTTATACTAATAATAGGTAATAATTGTTAGAAAAACATTTAATAAATTTAGATTAATATAGATATAATATAGAACAATATAGAACCATCTTAAAATTAAGTATAAGTATAAATTAAGATTTTTTAAATTGCAAACATTAAAGGATATCAAAAACTGAAATGCACTCAATGTTTGAACTTTAAAGAAATGTTCATAATATTCTTACAGTCATTGTCTATTACTTTTATGGTTACGGTTATGATATGGTTAGTTGCATTTTATTGTTTACATTTATCCTTTTTTTATGTGTCCATGATTCAGGACAGACCTGAAACTCTTTTTTTGTTTGAGAGCCACTGATATAGTCTCACTCACACTATATCTTTCTCCTGTAGTGACGAATCCCTGCGCGGTCAATAACGGCGGCTGTTCTCACCTTTGCCTCCTGCGAGCCGGAGGTCAGGGTCACACCTGCGAGTGTCCTGATCACTTCCTTACTGTGCAGATAGGGGGCGCTGCACGCTGTCTGCCCATGTGCTCCAGCACGCAGTACAGATGCGCAGACAACGAACGGTTAGTGTCTCCATGCACACGCTTCTTGAGTCAGGCTCTGTTCCAAAAGCCTAGTGAGCTGCCTTGCTGTATAGTGCCTACAAAGACAGCTGCCTTCTAAGCAAGCATCCTAACTGAAATGGTACCTTTTATTTGTCTTTTCTTACAGCTGTATCCCTATCTGGTGGAAGTGTGACGGTCAGCGAGACTGCAGAGACGGTTCGGATGAACCCTCCACGTGTCCCCTCCGGCACTGCAGACTGGGCCAGTTCCAGTGTAATGACGGAAACTGCAGCAGCCCACACTTCCTGTGCAACTCTAATCAGGACTGTCCCGATGGGTCGGATGAAGACACGGTGCTGTGTGGTATGGAAAAACTAATATCAGTGTCTGCAGTGATGCCGGTGATGTGGCCCAGTAGTTAAACATCTGGGCATGAAGCTTACAGGTTGTAGGTTTGAACCCCATAATAAAATCTAGTAATAAACAGCAGTTTTTGCTACATACATTTTTACTAAAACATTGTATCATATGAAGAAACAACATGCAGAGATTTTTTGTGATCAATCTTGAGTGTTATTTTAGTATTATTTATGCACTATTATAGTATTTATAAATATTTTGATTTAGCTTGTATTTTTTTGTATTTATTTTTCTTTTATAAATGTGCTTTTGACATTTATTTTTAGTCAAAAAATTTTTTTTCAATTAGTTACCATGGCAACATTTGTAGTTTTTCATGTAATGTTTATATTTTAAATGTTTTCAAAAATGTAATATTTCCTTAAAAATCAAACACAGAAATGTATTCAATGTTTGAAATTATTTATATACCACTATAGTATTTATACATTTTTTGAATTAAGCTTTTATTTTGTATTTTCGGTAACCAAACAGTTTCTGGTCCCCATTGACTTCCATAGTATTTTCCCCATAGTAGGTCCAGCAACTATTTGGTTACCAACACTCTTCAAGATATCTTCTTTTGTGTTCAATAGAAGAAAGAAAGAAAGAAAGAAAGAAATGACGTGAGGGTGAGTAAATAATGACAGAATTTTCGTTTTTGGGTGAACGATCCCTTTAAATTTTTATTTGCTCTTTACATAAAGCTATGTATGGCTTCTAAAGTAGTAAACTACTTTTATTCTGCTTTTATGTCGTGTTGGAGCTTGAAAAAGAATGACTCGGTTATCCTTTAACATTTTACCTTCTCTGTGTTTAAAATGACATGAGGGTGAATACACTATCGCTGGATGAACTGTTCCCTTAATAAGACAGAAAGACACCTGTAGACTTGCCTTACTAAAGAAACAGTAACAGTAAAGACAAAGATGAAGGGATTGAGAGGAACAAATTGAATAGGTGGAGGATAGGGATGCACCGATACCACTTTTTCCAGTACTCGCCCGATACCGATACTTTTATTTTTGGTACTTGCCGATACCGGCAAGTAAATTTTGTAAATATTGGGTATAGAAACCAAAAGGGTATGTATAATGTTAGTTGGTTAACTTCATTTATCAAATAGATACAGTCAAACCAAAATCTATTTAGACACCTTCATCTTTTCTCACATTATCACAGTTTATTCGCTATAGTTTAGAAAATGGTAATAAAATATGACAAGAACTCAGAGTTAAACTGTCAGAACAAATTCATCTTGATAACGCTAGATAATTCTGATAGAAAGGTATGTAATAGATTACAATCAACCAAAA